ATACCTGTCAGCCCATCATTGAAGTGTTTTGTTTTGTTTTTCTTGTTAGGACAGTTTCTATTAGCTGGGGAATGTAGGGATCATTAGCCCCCATGCATTTCTTTTAGTCCGCCATCTTTTCCGTTTCTCACCACGCTCTCCTCCCTATTAAATGTCAGCATTTAAAGTTCTCCAGCATTATCGGAATATTTCGTTTATTTATTTAATTTTTCGCCTTTCAATACTTGTATATTTTTCTGTATTTCCCCGCCAATTCATTTTCGACTTACTTTTCAGCCATATTACTTTTGTTTCATTTAAATTCTCTGGGGAAAATTCAGAAATCAAAGTATAAGAATCAGCTGTTTTCTTTTTAGAATCTCGTCTACATGAAATTGTAAATAGTATAGTGGGAAAGATATTAGAATAAACGAAAAGGGACAATGAAGAACAGATAGCTAAATTTTATAAAGTTAACGACAAACAGCTTTCTCTATTTTTTTTAGCCTTAATATCGTAATATCATAATATATCATAAAATCATATATCATAAAATATAGCATAAAATTCTTTGCGCTGAAAATATATTTGCAGAAATGCGTAGTGTGAAGTATTTTACAAAACTCGATGGATGTAACGAGTTTTATTTGATTCACATTCAACTCACTTTATATCAGGTTACGACTAGATTATGTTGAAATCGGCCCCAGTACGATCACCGAAGTTAAGCAACGTCAAACCTTGTTAGTACGTACATGGATGACTTTTAACGATTAAAAAATACCCCAAAATAAAAATAAAACAAATAAACATTTCAATCAAATTAAATTAATTTTGAAATACAGTAATGTTTTTGTTTACTGAAAATATTAAATTTAATCTATTAGCATGAAATTATAATTTCAAGAAAGATTTTTTAAATGCATTTAAACCATAGAAATCGTTTCTTTTTGTGGTACCAATGCATACATACATATACATATATATATATATATATATATATATATATATATATATATAGTCTGTGTGGGTGTATACAGAGCGCGATGGATAAATTGTCTAAATTACATAAAAATGAAAATAATACTGATATCTCATTTTGTTAATATTTAATTTTATCTTATTTTACTAAAATTACACAAAAATATCTTGAAATACAAAAGAGTAAATTTATTCAATAAAATCGCCATTGGCTTCAAACATGGCCTCCAATCTGCTGCAACACTTCTGGACGCTCTCCTTGTTTAAGTTGATGAATGCTGACATAATCCTTGCCTTCATCTTTGGTGTTACAAGGAGTTTTTTGGTCTCTCGCTCAACAGCGCTCCGACACATAATAATCAAGGAGGTTGCAGCCTGGGGAGTTAAGTGGTCAGATGGAAGTGGGGATGTGGTCGCAGAAATTGTCTGACAGCAATGTCTGGGTTCTTTTGCTTTGGTGGCATGGTGCATAGTACTATTGCCAGATATAGGGACTTCCAGCAGTCCCTGTCTTGACCCAGGTTGGCTCTTTCCTCAAGGCACTTGATGTAGGCCTCTGTATTGAGTCTGGGGCACTTTTAAAAGTGAATAGAGGCATAATGTCGCCATCACTAGTGGTCAATCCAAACAACATGATGTTCACTGCATATATTGTCCAGCTCTTTCCAAATCCTCTGCACTGTCTTTAGATTGACACTAAAACACTCTGAAATGTTCGTATTAGAGGTTCCGGTGCCAATGCAAAGGCAGTACAGCATGCCGTTTTAAAATTTCTTGCGGAGTGAATTGCGTCATGATGCTCTTTTTTTCACAGATTGTGCTCAACTGGCCCTACTGTACTGTGCAGTCGATAAAATCAAAAAGAAACAACCTGAAGTTAAAAATATAAAATGGCGACAATTTATCAATCGCACGCTATATATATATATATATATATATATATATATATATATATATATATATATATATATATATATATATAGTCAACTTAGAGAGCCAGACAAACCTACCAAGGTTTCACATAATCTCTACTTTTGTATTGAGCACTTTTTTAGTTAGTTGATTTCTCGTATCGGTTTTTTTTTCTTTGGGCTTTGGACCTGTATGCTGTACGATTATTTTCGACAGACGTTCATGTTCATAGCTCTTTCTTTTTTAAAAAAACTTTTTTTCCTTCGAAATTGATTTGACCATTAGCAAATCAGGAAACCGAATGTTTTCCGAAACGAGTGTAGTTACCTATATATATATATATATATATATATATATATATATATATTACAGACATATTACCTTGAAACATCAGTTCCCGCACGATCACCCAAGTAGAGCAACGTCGGGCCTTGTTATCAACTAGACAGATAACCCTATGGGCATACCAGTTCTAGTAAGCTTGGATTTGCGGATGGTATAATGGAAAATAGCTCGGAGTTATTAACCGGAAAGTTCCATTCCAATTTCAGTTGAACTTGTTATATACACTCACGAGCCAATACCCTTGGAAAAGATGATATGGGTTAATTAATAAGACTTGTATCACTAAATTATTATTATACCCCAACTCCAAAATCTTACAATCTAAAATATTTTCAGGCTTTAAGCAAAGTGATGACAAACCGTAAAAAACGAATCAATCGATCAAATTTATATCCCTGTACTAGGGTAACCTACAGGATACATATGGCCAGCAGTTTGGCTTTTCTAAAATTGAGATAACACCATTTACTGAACGTATTGAGGGAAGAGAGATTTCGCGTGATGACATCGTAGTTTCGTCTATTATTCTATAAGAATGTCTTGAGATGTTAACTTTTGTTCGGACGATTACAGTAATTCAGGATCATTTCATAAAGGGAAGTGAAAATATTATTGCAACTAAACTCGCATGTTATGTTCATCTTATTTCCTCTGAATGATCAAAGTCAAATACTTCTAAAACTAAAGTAACTGTTAATTTACGACAAATTGCACACACGGGAGACTTACGTCGATTTCTTGGTATGAGAATTGCAAATTTATATGCAAATGTTTTGCTAAGTCATTCCAACCCGTTTAAATTTACATTTTCAATGTATCCTTCCATGTTCATTTGACAAGGTTCAAAATGAAGACGAGGCAAACAGGAAGGCAATATTTACGAGCTCATATCCATTAAAATTTACTAAATTACCTATTAAGCTAATATGAAATCGCGATTATAAATGGTATCCAATTGTATCGTCAGGTGCCACAACATCTTTTAATGAAAATTACTGAGAAACCGCCAACTATTTTGACATGAATAATTTTTAGCAATGGCGGTTCTGAATTTCGGTTCTTTTTACCGTTGTAAGAATTACCTGACTCCAGCTATCCTCTACGTTACTAGAGCCAGATCAGACTGAAAATGGAGTCTCTCTCTTTATGTGCCGTGTCCCCTCAAGACTTATGCGAACATGGCTCTCCACAATTTCCTGTCCCTTGCAGTTATAAATAAATTCTGTCAGTTTGTTATTTATAAACCCTGTTCCGACAATCTCGTCAAATATGTTATGCGTTGTTTTTCCCTTCTGCACTCAATACGTTCTGTGAGTAACAAATTCTCCAAGCCTTCCGTCCTCATTACATGTTCCAGAAATTTCAACTGTCTCTTGCTGAGGTTAAGTATAAATTTCCATTTTCTCTAAGACCTCGTCGTTGCTCACATGTTCTGTCCATGGCATCCCCATCATCATTCTATAGAACCACATATCGGCAAGAGATGCCCAATCTTCCCTTTACAGTCTTGATAGAGTTCAAAAGCGGGTCCGCTACAAATCCTCTCCCTCAAACGAAACGTCGCAGGCCTCTCACCGCTCTATTGCTATTGCCATGGAAAGTGTTCAAACGAACTACATTTCTTACTTCCAACAGCTTTAATCTACACGGCGAAAAGTCTCCATGCCATGCACATTGCAGCAAACCACCCTGATTCCCTTCGAATTTCATTGGTGAGATATATACTCAATTCGAGTTGCTTCTCGCCATGAGCCGCTGATTTATGGTACCGCCTCCTAAGATGCCTCCGAAACCACTACAATCTGAAGCTGTTCAAATCTACGGATAGCCGTTATCTTCCTCATATATCCCCATAAACTCTACCTCTTACGCTGTAACCTTCTACCGAAGTGGCTCTTGAGCCTTGGACAGGGCGAATAATATTTTGCAAAAAAAAATCGCTAAAACAGTTCGACTTTGTCCATATAAAAACTAACCCGATTTATCCCTCCTCGTAAAACCAGTTGGTCGAACGATATTCTGATTACCTGTCTTTGAGAAATGATCTATATTTGGTCATTATTGGCTTTATACTCTTCTTAGGCTCTGAGCTGCAGTGGGGTGGGGTGCAATGGATAATGGCTCGGAATGAGAAATCAGAGAACGGCGATCGAATTCCAATCGGATTCGTTACTTTTACTTACGTGGAAATACCCTTGGGAAAGGTATAAATTCATCTCATCTCTGACTTTGGCTGAATAGCAGGACAGACTGGGCTCTTTAGCCTTGGTTGGAAATCAATCTATCACAAAAAGAAACGGCAACCGACTGCTGGAAATTATTCTACCTAGTCAGTCATGAATCGAAAGAGACATGATCGCCCAAATGTGTATCACGTTTTGAAATTAACTAATCAACTACCTGTATTTGATAACGTTTAGCAATTATTTTTTTTCACTATCATTCACATTCCCTGTTCTGCAATCCATTTACACAAACTTGTTAGATTTACTCCCCCGCTTTTGTCTGTCACTGGTGTCTTCTTTATGTCCAGTAAGTCGATTTCTACAAATCTTCCTTATTATGTGATCTTTCTGATTCAAAGTATAAGTGTCCTTTTTTTGTTTTTATTTTCTTACAAAATTCATCCTTGATCACATTCTCAGTATTCTTCTGTAGGACCTTCGCTAGGACCACCTCACTGTTACCTCCAGTCTCTTTTTCATCTGTATGAAAATTATTCAGCACTTACTGCTGTATAGGAGAATTTTATATATGAAGTACCTCTAACTATCTTACAACCTATGCGTATTAAGGCTGATACTTATCGATCACCATAAAACATGAATCACATCAGTGATACCCCCATTTGCATGCACTTAATCAAAATCCAATCGGTCTGAGTTTAAATAATATATAGTATCATATATTAAAAAGTTTAAGCTAAACAATAAATCATGAACTTCAAATGTATTTGTTTGAAAGTAGCTTTAACCAATATAGTCACAATATACGCAAAAAAAGAAACCATCAGTTTAAACTTAAAGATCTTATTTTTTCCACTATTTACATTGTTCGAACTGCTGTCTTGAACTTCATTACCATATTCATGACGTTTCGGTCGTTGTACGCTCCGGTCTTCTTCGGGATCTGTCTATATTTTTGAGATAAGGTATTGTAACTATTTACACTATTTACATTGTTCGGACTGTTCTCCTCGTCTTTGTTGCCATATTCACGAAGTTTCAGCCGTTATACGCTCCGGTCTTCTTCAGGATCTGTCTATATTTCTGAGATAAGTTATTGTAACTATTTACACTACATCGTTCGGACTGTTGTCTTCATCTTTATTGTCATATTCACGACGTTTCGGTCGTTGTACTCTCCGGTCGTTGTACAATGGCAGAAACGTCGTGAATATGAAAAAGAGATGAGGACAACAGTCCGAAAAATGCCCCATCTCTTTTTCCATATATCTGAAATATAAATATAAACTATAATTTTGTAAAGTCATTTTTCGAATAGTTTTTTTATGATTTATCAACCCTTTTCAGGGTATTTAAAGCCAGAGAATATTTTTTAGATTATGAGAATTTTTGTTGAGATAATAATGATTAAGAGATACAAGTCATAATAATTAACCCATAGTTGGAGGGAGAAGAGGTGGCGTCATAATTTTCCAAAGTTTATTAGCGCGGTTGTGAATATAACTGGAATTGGGACTCGGCTTTTCGATTAGCAATTATAAGCCGTAATACTGTGCACCACCCGTACATCCAAGCCTACAACACATGGTATTTACAAGCGGTCACCCTTCTAGGTCCTGACCATGATCGGCGTTACTTTACTGATCGTACGGGAACTGATGTTGCAGCGCGATATGGCCGTAAGTGCTTGTAAAGTGAATATTTCAGTGAAATTGTTGCGAAATTTTAAATGTTTTTATCTAAAGTCTAGTAAATACGTATTTTAATCAGGATAGACACAATATATTGGAAAAAAGGAAGGCGTCAGTTTAAACTGTCGCCAGGTAGTTAGGGTTAAATAAAACCAAATTGCTGGCACGTCATAAAATTAGTTAACCTAATCATTTCCCTCTTCACACACACATGAACACACACACATACACACACACACATACACACACATATATATATATATGAATAGACGCTCTTGTTTTTATTTATTTATTAAACAATATATTTATTTATAAATTTACTGTTTAATAAATAAATAAAATATTTACATACGCCCTATCTCTGGTGTTGAGCACTTTTAACAATAAACACAGAATACCTTAAAACTTTATTTTTTATCATATATATATATATATATATATATATATATATATATTATTTTGGTATGGATTTTCCATTTATTGATCTGAAATATTTTAATTTACTTCTTAAACGTTATTCTTAATGGATACACATTATGTTAAAAAAGATATAGAAACAGATTAAAAAAATCCATATGCCATAAATAAACATGATTTCAAGATTTCAAATATCATTATGGATTACTTGAAATTCTATGCATGAGTCCCAGTATAAATACTTATACATAATTATTGACAAATTTTCTCATTGCGATATTTTTGCATTATATCAAGTTTTAAGAATATAGTAACTAGGCTCCGCAAATTGGAGAAGAGAGTTATCAATGATAATGTTCTGACTGTTAATCTGCGGTTATCTATCCTTAACCCTCTATTTTTAAAATTTTTTAAATGTCCTTTTTATCACATAAAATTTGGAGAGGGCGAGCAAGTTTTAATTCCCAAAATGCGGCCCAATGACAATTTTTTTTTGAAAACAATGGCGAACTAATATGAATTCTGAATTGAATACTTAATTTAATCTTCATGGTAGATTATTCTTGTTCAACTGACCATATCTAGAAATACCATAACTTATTTTGAGCTCGCCCTTTTCTACTGAGTCCAAGTACACACTGCCCGGCGCAGGGATTGAACTCGTAATTACTATTATATCAAATTTACGAATCAACGCTTTAATTCACTTGGTTATTCTCCTGTGGGACAATTTTGTGTGGAGAAATTGGAGCCTTAAACCTAACTTGACCACTTATGAGTGCTGTTGTGAATATCATGCTTGACTGCATTTATCGGTTGATTGACTTGTTTTTACGTCTTATCAATATTTTTAGGTTATTTAAAGCCATAAACTATTTTAGAATCTTTTGGAGAATATGATTTGATGGTAAAAGTTCTACTAATTAATTCATGGCTAGGGGTAGCAGAGGAGCATTCATACATTTTTAAAGGATATTTGTGAAAGTGAATATAATGAACTTGATTAGAATTAGTACTTGGCTCCTCGATTTCCAATTCCAAGGCGTTATACATTACACCACTCGTTATACATCACGCCACATTCAAGCTTTCAGCACCTGGTATTCCCAAGTGGTCACCCATTTAGGCACTGACAAGGTTCGACGTTGTTTAACTTCGTTGGTCGTACGAGAACTAATGTTTAAACGACTGTGCTCATTGAGACTCTTCTCTTTTGTTACTACCGCTGCAGCTGTGGAAGTGATGATGGCATATGTCTATTTTTCTTCATTAATGGATCCCATATTGTATTTATTTCGATGCTTGTCCCACTAAAGATCCTATGTGCTAATTCTTTAAGACGTCTATCTCTCCGTTGTTTAAGACGTCTATCTCTCCTAATTCTTTAAGACGTCTATCTCTCCGTTCTTTAAGACGTCTATCTCTCAAATTCTTTAAGACGTCTATCTCTCCGTTCTTTAAGACGTCTATCTCTCCGTTCTTTAAGACGTCTATCTCTCCTAATTCTTTAAGACGTCTATCTCTCCAAATTCTTTAAGACGTCTATCTCTCCGTTCTTTAAGACGTCTATCTCTCCGTTCTTCAAGACGTCTATCTCTCCGTTCTTTAAGATGTCTATCTCTCCGTTCTTTAAGACGTCTATCTCTCCTAATTCTTTAAGACGTCTATCTCTCCGTTCTTTAAGACGTCGATCTCTCCGTTCTTTAAGACGTCTATCTCTCCAAATTCTTTAAGACGTCTAACTCTCCGTTCTTTAAGACGTCTATCTCTCCGTTCTTTAAGACGTCTATCTCTCCTAATTCTTTAAGACGTCTATCTCTCCGTTCTTTAAGACGTCTATCTCTCCGCTCTTTAAGACGTCTATCTCTCCAAATTCTTTAAGACGTCTATCTCTCCGTTCTTTAAGACGTCTATCTCTCCAAATTCTTTAAGACGTCTATCTCTCCGTTCTTTAAGACGTCTATCTCTCCAAATTCTTTAAGACGTCTATCTCTCCTAACTCTTTAAGACGTCTATCTCTCCAAATTCTTTAAGACGTCTATCTCTCCGTTCTTTAAGACGTCTATCTCTCCGTTCTTTAAGACGTCTATCTCTCCAAATTCTTTAAGACGTCTATCTCTCCGTTCTTTAAGACGTCTATCTCTCCAAATTCTTTAAGACGTCTATCTCTCCTAATTCTTTAAGACGTCTATCTCTCGTTCTTTAAGACGTCTATCTCTCCGTTCTTTAAGACGTCTATCTCTCCTAATTCTTTAAGACGTCTATCTCTCCGTTCTTTAAGACGTCTATCTCTCCGTTCTTTAAGACGTCTATCTCTCCTAATTCTTTAAGACGTCTATCTCTCCGTTCTTTAAGACGTCTATCTCTCCGTTCTTTAAGACGTCTATCTCTCCTAATTCTTTAAGACGTCTATCTCTCCTAATTCTTTAAGACGTCTATCTCTCCAAATTCTTTAAGACGTCTATCTCTCCGTTCTTTAAGACGTCTATCACTCCGTTCTTTAAGACGTCTATCTCTCCAAATTCTTTAAGACGTCTATCTCTCCGTTCTTTAAGACGTCTATCTCTCCAAATTCTTTAAGACGTCTATCTCTCCGTTCTTTAAGATGTCTATCTCTCCGTTCTTTAAGACGTCTATCTCTCCGTTCTTTAAGACGTCTATCTCTCCAAATTCTTTAAGACGTCTAACTCTCCGTTCTTTAAGACGTCTATCTCTCCGTTCTTTAAGACGTCTATCTCTCCTAATTTTTAAGACGTCTATCTCTCCGTTCTTTAAGACGTCTATCTCTCCGTTCTTTAAGACGTCTATCTCTCCAAATTCTTTAAGACGTCTATCTCTGCGTTCTTTAAGACGTCTATCTCTCCTAATTCTTTAAGACGTCTATCTCTCCTAATTCTTTAAGACGTCTATCTCTCCGTTCTTCAAGACGTCTATCTCTCCTAATTCTTTAAGACGTCTATCTCTCCGTTCTTAAGGACGTCTATCTCTCCGTTCTTTAAGACGTCTATCTCTCCAAATTCTTTAAGACGTCTATCTCTCCGTTCTTTAAGACGTCTATCTTTCCGTTCTTTAAGACGTCTATCTCTCCTAATTCTTTAAGACGTCTATCTCTCCTAATTCTTTAAGACGTCTATCTCTCCAAATTCTTTAAGACGTCTTTCTCTCCGTTCTTTAAGACGTCTATCTCTCCGTTCTTTAAGACGTCTATCTCTCCGTTCTTTAAGACGTCTATCTCTCCAAATTCTTTAAGACGTCTATCTCTCCGTTCTTTAAGACGTCTATCTCTCAAATTCTTTAAGACGTCTATCTCTCCTAATTCTTTAAGACGTCTATCTCTCCTAATTCTTTAAGACGTCTATCTCACCAAATTCTTTAAGACGTCTATCTCTCCGTTCTTTAAGACGTCTATCTCTCCGTTCTTTAAGACGTCTATCTCTCCAAATTCTTTAAGACGTCTATCTCTCCGTTCTTTAAGACGTCTATCTCTCCGTTCTTAAGGACGTCTATCTCTCCTAATTCTTTAAGACGTCTATCTCTCCTAATTCTTTAAGACGTCTATCTTTCAAAATTCTTTAAGACGTCTATCTCTCCGTTCTTTAAGACGTCTATCTCTCCAAATTCTTTAAGACGTCTATCTCTCCGTTCTTTAAGACGTCTATCTCTCTGTTCTTTAAGACGTCTATCTCTCCAAATTCTTTAAGACGTCTATCTCTCCAAATTCTTTAAGACGTTCTTCCGTTCTTTAAGACGTCTATCTCTCCGTTCTTTAAGACGTCTATCTCCGTTCTTTAAGACGTCTATCTCTCCAAATTCTTTAAGACGTCTATCTCTCCGTTCTTTAAGACGTCTATCTCTCCTAATTCTTTAAGACGTCTATCTCTCCTAATTCTTTAAGACGTCTATCTCTCCAAATTCTTTAAGACGTCTATCTCTCCAAATTCTTTAAGACGTCTATCTCTCCGTTCTTTAAGACGTCTATCTCTCCAAATTCTTTAAGACGTCTATCTCTGCGTTCTTTAAGACGTCTATCTCTCCAAATTCTTTAAGACGTCTATCTCTCCGTTCTTTAAGACGTCTATCTCTCCGTTCTTTAAGACGTCTATCTCTCCTAATTCTTTAAGACGTCTATCTCTCCGTTCTTAAGGACGTCTATCTCTCCGTTCTTTAAGACGTCTATCTCTCCTAATTCTTTAAGACGTCTATCTCTCCGTTCTTTAAGACGTCTATCTCTCCGTTCTTTAAGTCGTCTATCTCTCCGTTCTTTAAGACGTCTATCTCTCCTAATTCTTTAAGACGTCTATCTCTCCAAATTCTTTAAGACGTCTATCTCTCCTAATTCTTTAAGACGTCTACCTCTTCTAATTCTTTAAGACGTCTATCTCTCCAAATTCTTTAAGACGTCTATCTCTCCGTTCTTTAAGACGTCTATCTCTCCAAATTCTTTAAGACGTCTATCTCTCCGTTCTTTAAGACGTCTATCTCTCCGTTCTTTAAGACGTCTATCTCTCCTAATTCTTTAAGACGTCTATCTCTCCGTTCTTTAAGACGTCTATCTCTCCAAATTCTTTAAGACGTCTATCTCTCCGTTCTTTAAGACGTCTATCTCTCCGTTCTTTAAGACGTCTATCTCTCCTAATTCTTTAAGACGTCTATCTCTCCGTTCTTTAAGACGTCTATCTCTCCAAATTCTTTAAGACGTCTATCTCTCCTAATTCTTTAAGACGTCTATCTCTCCGTTCTTTAAGACGTCTATCTCTCCTAATTCTTTAAGCCGTCTATCTCTCCTAATTCTTTAAGACGTCTATCTCTCCGTTCTTTAAGTCGTCTATCTCTCCGTTCTTTAAGACGTCTATCTCTCCTAATTCTTTAAGACGTCTATCTCTCCGTTCTTTAAGACGTCTATCTCTCCAAATTCTTTAAGACGTCTATCTCTCCGTTCTTTAAGACGTCTATCTCTCCGTTCTTTAAGACGTCTATCTCTCCTAATTCTTTAAGACGTCTATCTCTCCTAATTCTTTAAGACGTCTATCTCTCCTTGTCCTGTATTTTCACTTCGTTCCAAACTTTGTCTTTGTCATGGCCATTCCTTAACCGTACACTTATAAGCGAAGCTTAGTGAATTTCCAATGTTGAGAAGTATTCTTGAAAACCACAAGTATAATACCTATATAGATATATGCTAATGCTCCCTTATCAGCAACGGATATGTTTGAAGACATTTTTAATTTTTGTAAAAGCACGGTGAAGTAATGGATAAGCGGCTCGGATTGAGGAAATCGGTGAGCCAAGTTTGAATTCCAGTTAAAACTATTATATTCACTTACGTGCTAATGCCCGTGGGAAAGGTATGAATCCTCTTCTCCTCCCACTAGCTATGGCTAAATAGCAGAACAGACCAGCTTCTATAGCCTTGGATGGCAACTGGTCTACTGGTAACTTACTGCGGGAAAAAAAACTGCGTCGTCAGTAATGTATCTTTCGATACATGATCGCCTAAGCGTGTATCACGCATGGCGCATAACTGACTTAATTTTTTAATCTTCATCCTGTAAAAAGCCTCAAAGTAGGAAGGTTACAGAGTAATAAGCACAGATTATGTAGATATGTAAATAAGATAACCGTTAACCCAAGACTTGAACAGGTTAAGATTGTAGTGATCTGGGAAGCATCATCTTGGAAGTCGGTTCCTCATACATCAGTTCCTTGGAAGAAACTGCTCGAGTGGAACTTACATCTCGCCAGTGGAACATGAAAGGAAGAGGGTGTCATGGCGGGTCCTAGCCGTGAAGGTTAGCATTGGTGGAGCTAAGGAATTTAGTTCGTTTGAACACTTACCATAAGAAATAACGATAGAGCATCAGTGGGAAAGGTGTTGTAGAATAAGAAATATTTCGTCACACATAAGGATGCGGAGACGCTGGACTCTATGAAGACAGGAAAGTTAAAAGTGGTCAGCTCCTGTGCATATATATTGCAGCATTTTCGGCCTGACCTGACTCTTGTAAAGATGGAGGTTATGGCAGGAAGAATCAGGAACTTACTGCAGCGCTACGACCATTTGGCTAAAATTTTCCTTAAAGTTTTTTTCCTAACCTAAATTGTTACATAAAATAGGAATATCCAAAGGAGTGTAATTTGTAGTTTGATCCTAAAAGGTACGCTTAAAACGACTCACGCCGTTATCAGTATTAGAGTTATATTGACTTGTGACTGCTCATTTTCGAGTATAGCCGTCTTGTTTCGATGTCCCCTTGTGTTTCTTCAGCAACCACATTGTCAAGCTTTGATTTATACTGCAACTATGCTGGGCGTAACTTTAGTTTAAGAATTTACTCCGCCAGAGCCACATACGGTTTTGAATCTGGCAAGAATGTTCAGTCTTTCCAGTTATGTAACCGATAGCTGGGAGAAGAAGAGATGTCTTCATACCTTTCCGAGTACTTGGGTGAGAGTGAATGTAGCGAATTCGACTGGAATTCGAACTCGGCTCACCGATTTCTTGTACCGAACCTATAAATATTACACCCTTACACATCCAAGTCACCCATAAATATAATTGAGCATTCTCCCTTACATTACAGAGTTCCTCATTTGAGCTAATTACAAAAAATAAAACTAAAGTAAAATAAAGGACACACTTGTTCGTAACTATGCAATGAGATGAGGTAAAATAAACCGTAGATTTGTCTGCGGAATATCATTACATCATTGTTACATAATTATAGGGAAATCATTAAGGTTTTTTAGTTAAAAGAATTTCATTTTTGATCGTATATTACTTTAAAATATTCCCTTTTACAGGCTTTATTTTCAAATGAAATAAGATCATTCTAAATTTCAGAATTTCGCTATTGTCCATCAAAATGGTTGGAAGAAAGCGATCTAAAAACAACAATGGAAAAGAGCGGTAACAAAGCGTAAACGAAATAACTCCAGTTTGTTCAACTTAGAAAGTTTAGCATTTCAACCAAAATGGTGCCAATAACAAAGGAGAAAATGAAAAATAATTAACAAATCGAATACAACATCACAATTTATATTATTTTTATTTATTTGTTATGTAACTAAATGCATAATTGTCGACTATGTTTCCGTAAAACTTGATATTTCCTGTGATAAATTCTTAATAAATATTATTATTTTTATTTTACTTATGGCTAACCATCAAAAGAAACGTTGATCAAAACTGCCTAAAAACTTTAAGTGCATATTTCCGCAAAATTATCAAATATTGAATAACTTCGAACGAGTCAATTACTTTTTCCGATCATGCAAAAAAAAAAAAAAAAAAAAAATCAAGAGACGGACAGTGCTTAATCAACTGACCGAAACTGTCCGTGCTCATGCTGAGATTGGACGTCAGCGTATGACCCCATTAACCTGAATCTGGACTGGAAATCAAGATAAAAGAACGATTACAGACGCTTACCGTCCTTTCACCTAGACAACAACGCTTATCTCCTCTACTTGTATTTTATAACTAATAGTAAATGGAAAAGCTGACTTCGTCCTGTGAATTCCCGCAGTAATGAAGAAAACTTACCATTTCTTCGTTTTCCTGGACTATAGACATCCTATCAATCAAAAAGTTAGTTTACACCTGCTACAATAGAAACAAGGTTAGTGCCGCAGTGCGTCATTGTATGATTCAAAACCGAAGTTAAATCGACGGTAGAAATTGCAATTTCTTCATTCTTCGTTTCAATGGAATCAGTTGTCATGCTTAAGGTTTGAAGAGGGCCCAAAGTTAATATTTAAGTGGAAGCATGTTCAGACCAGCGGTGAGACTCATGAGAAAATTCTGTAGAAAAACTCAACAATCTCAAAATAAATGATTTCCGCACATGCAAAGATTCTATTTATATACAGAATTCGATGTAACGTAGGTCGGAAAAGGAGAGAGAAATCTATTCTTCAACAAACTATTAGCATTTTAATGTGACTGAGAAAGTGACTAAAAATATGTTTATTTGGAGAACATTCGATGCCATTAAGGACCCAGTTTATTTCAAGATTCATCAGTTTATAGTGGCTTAGTCACATTTATTGAACTGAGATATTTAGATTGTCGCCATATTATATTCTTAACTTCGCGCATGGGCGTTGGTTGTTTTTGATTTTGTCGATTGCACAATATAGTAGGATCAGTTGGGGCACCGTCTGTAGAGAAAAAGAGCACCATAACGCAATACACTTCACTAGAAATTTGGAAACGGCATGCTGAAATGCTTGTCATTCTCACCGGAATACGAACATTTCAGAGTGTTTGGTGTCAGTTTGATGACAGTGCAGAGGATTTGGAAAAAAGGTTGGATGAGTCTATTGGTGATTACGAAGGTACGGCAGCTCGGAGAACTCACGCTGATCGTTCTGATAAGAAAAGAACGCACGAATTTGTTGGTGAGGTCCTCAGATTCGACACAAAGGCCTACATCAAATTCTTTGAAGAGATAATCCTGCTCTGGGTCAAGATTGTGGCTGCTGGAAGACCCTATGGTTGGTAACCGGACAAGGCATCATGCCACACAAGTAGGAGAACGCATTCTTGGCTATAAGACAATTTCTGCGACGATATCACCCCTTAAATCTGGTCAACCAACACCGCAGACTGCAATCCCTTTCATTATTATGTGTGCAGCTCAGTAAAACGAGATACCAACAAAACTCCTTGTAACATCAAAGATGAACCGAAGGCAAGGATTATGGAAGCATTCATCAGCTTATACAAGGAGACCGGCCAGAAGAGTTGCAGGAAATTCCGAAGTCGTCTGGAGGCCGTGGTTGAAGCCAAAGGTGGTTTTAGTGAATAAATTTACTCTTTAGTATTTCATTATATTTTTGTGTAATGTTGGTAATTATATCTGTCAAAATGAGATGTCAGTGTTATTTTCATTCATTTAGACAATTTATCCATCGCACCCTTACAGGAATTGGGATGAAATATAAATTAGAATCCGACAAAATGATAAGATAAGGATCAGATAGGAATCGTTTATGAAATTAACATGTTTCAGTTTTATTTAAGCTTCATCAGAAATTTTAGGAAAATGAATAATGGAAAAGTTAAATTCAGGTTCTTTTAGTTTTGTATTGTTTGCTTTTCATTGATTAGTTAGACCTAACTTTACATTATCTTGTGGTGTTAATATGTATGTATGTATGTGTGTGTGTGTGTGTGTGTGTCTACGTTTGCACCAGAGTAGGCATTTTGTGTTAGTCTGGTAGTGTCCGTGTGTATAATTTATATTATATTATAGTTTATGCAAACTTAGGTAATCCGTATGGGTAGACCCGAGGAGGATGATATCCAGAGAGCTCAATGTAAAATTCAGAGCATGGATTACTCTTTCAATGTACTGTCTAGGAATTTTTCCAATCGACTGTTTCATAGAAAATACCCAAAACTCCATCGAATTTCAAATTAATTTCTTCGTAGATTGTTTAGACATTTAGATATTTATCAAACCTTAACCTCCCAAATATGAACGTTAAAGTAACGCAAATTAACAGCGTCTAAGAATTTGAATGAAACCTGTCGTGTAATTGATTGGGGTTGTTGTAGCTTCTTCCTTTAATGTCGGTCTTATATCTAGAGACGAGACGCGTTAAATTTGAGAAACATCTAGCCGACACACTGTAGTTAAAAATAGGAAATTGAAATGATACATAAGACACACTCATATCCTCTCTCCCAACTCACTTCCTCACTTCGTTAATTTTACGTATACTTGATGAGGTCCGTCAAAAACGTGTGAATTTCTTTTCATTTTTCAATAGCTTATTACATGGAATCTTAACGTGGTCTGTTTTTATTTTAACATATATATATATATATATATATATATATATATATATATATATATATATATATATATTTCCCATGCATATTCAATTGCATGGGTGCTACAATCTTGATACCGAAATAGAATGACTTTTTATGTATATATGTGTGTTCGACGCATGAATGTGTCACTGCGTCTAACCTCAGATTATCCATATGTGTGTGTTTGTACGAACTAA